AGGTATTTTTTAAAATTTCTGTGTATAATTTTTAAATATAAAATTTAAATTTCAAAATATTTTATATGGAGTTAATTGATATTTAATTAATATTTTAATTTGTGAATAAACAATTATATTTTATTATAGAATTATTAAAACAAAACAAAGAAATTAATAATTTATTTAAAATATCAATAAAATAGATATGTAATATTTCTTTTAATGATGATGAAAGCATTAAGTGATGAAAGTAATGAAACACACATGTTTTCATGCATTTTGCTAACAAGCCTATGCCATAGTATTCAAAATAGCTGTGTTAAATAAAAGCTCAGAAAGATTTATAATTAATATCATATTTTAATTTCTTATATTCCATGTATTTTAATTGAAATACTTTGGTTCTTATTTGTTATTCAATATAAATGAATGATATGCAATATAAATTAATTTAAATTAATATATAAAAAAGAATATAAAAAAAGAAAATAAAAAAGAATATTAAAAAAATAAGTATAAGTGTTTTATTAATTAATTCATAGCAAAACATATATAATTGTATAATTAATTACAAAATTTATATTAATTAAAATAATATTAATTATATATTAGTTCAAATCAATATAATTTGTTAAACAATTGTGTAACAAATTGAGAATCAAAGTTCTTCAAAATAGTAATACTATTTTTGCTGATATGCATTCACATAAATTATAATATGAAGTACATTTTAAAAAATAAGCATTTCTTTTAAAAGTATATAATTTTATTCAATATAAAAACAGCACTCTTACAAAAATCTTCATATTTTAAATAGTTCGATGAATTCTTCTATAAAAATTTAATAGTTCACTTTTACTTGAACAATTAATATTCATAAAATGTAAATGTTACTCTCTAATGATATTACAAAAAAAAAAATTTATATGATATCATATTTTATCATATTATAAATATCAACAATTTTTTTAAAAATATTATATTTATGTTTAATAAATTGTAATTACTGATATATGATATAAATTTATATATATATATATAATGTTTATAATTTAGTTAAATGTAATAATATTAATAATTGATACATGTGATAAAAAAATATATAAGGAGTTTAAAATTTGAAACAATTAATAAATATTTGTATTAATTTGATTAAAATTATTTTATAATATTTTATAATATTTCATTTTAATACATATGAAAACAATATCAAACAAAAGCCTCTCCTGTTAAAATAAAAAGTGTACAACTCTAGTCAAATAGTGATGTATTAAAATTAGATTATTTCAATACATAAAACTTTAGAATTTAGTTAATATTTGTTTATATCTATATTTATAGAATTGATGAAATAGAAATTGATAAAAATAAATGAATCATTTACAAAATGAGATGATTATGTAAGTATGACAATAAATTGAGTACTTAGAATTAAACTTTTAAATAAATAAAAATTTATTTTTAATAGATAAAAATTTAAACATTACAATTTTCTTTTTTTTTATAAAATATTTAATATAATTCATTTCTTTCATTTAATAATTTAATAATATAAATCTGTGAAATTTTGTTTTAACTAATATTTAATTACTTTTAATGTTTAATTTTTTCCGTGAAAAATATTGTATATTGATCACAAAGAATGTATATTTATAAAACATAATGAGTTAAATAATAATATAAATTAAAAATTATTTTGATATTAATAAAAAAAATTAATCATTTTATACTTATACAATAATTGTATAATTGTATATATAAAATAATACAATAATTGTATTATTTTACATACATTTTACATTCCATATTCATAAAAAATATGAATAATAACATATTAATTTTATTTTAAGATACTATATTTTTTAACATAATATATTTAAGATTTTAATTAATATTCATTATGTTAGAACAGAATTTCACTGTGTAAAATAAAAACCATGTATTACTTCTTTATGCTTAATAAATTTTGCAACAAAAAAAAAATATTTTAATTGTTATGAATATTTAGAATTAATTAAAAAAATATTAAATAATAAGATGAAAAATAATAAAATAATTATAATATAAGAATTCATCGAACTAATATAATATAATTTTACTTGATTATTTAAAAATATTATATTTTTACATATCAATTTAATATCATTAATTTCATAAATCTATTTAAAAATAATTAAAATTTTGATTAAAATATCTAATATTTTAAAAAATTATAAATCTTTTTATGTATGTTAATTTTTAATCTTCTGAGCTCATCTAACATAGAAAATTCAATATTAGTTTTAATTAGTTAGTAATAAATAATAAATATTTCTATGTGATCAATATGTTAATTGTCAATCTTGTATGATGTGAATACAATATTTTGTTTGAAATGTTTGATACATTATCAATCATTTAATCAAGTATATGTAGTCAATGTCTTTACTTTTCTGTATTTTGTAATTTTGACATCTTATATAATGTAAGGATATATAAATAAATATAAAATAACACTATACACGCAATATTAATAGAATAATATTGCTTTTAAATTAAGTTAAAATAATGAAATATAGATTTCAAATTATAACATTGTAATAATATTTAATAATAATAATTTATGTATCAGAGTATAGTATATAATATTACCTATTTATTAATATACATATACATAAATAATTTCTGATTACACATGTTTACATACATATAATATAACATAATATTTAAAAATGTATTTGCATTTAATAATTATACTAAACAACACCAAAATCATTTTTAATAAGGCATTTTAGTAATTATTTATTTATAAAAAATATTATTTCATATTAAACAATACTTTATTTTCATATTAAATGATACTAAAATTGATATTTTATAATTAATTGAATCAATTATGAAACAATATGATTTATTAAATCAATTAAAATCAATATATTACAATTATAATTTGCAGTATATTTATAGTCATTATATATATATATATAATAAGATATAACTGAATAAAAATATAGAATAAAATTTTGCACAAGGTTTTATTTTCGAGAAAATAGTTTTTAAATTCTATATAATAAATGTACACTTAATTTGACATAATTTGAAATAAAAGATTTCATTTTATATTAATTCTGTTTATTATATTTATTTATTATATTTTATTATAATAAAAAACATATAATGAAATAAGATATTTACAAACATATAATGAAAAGATTATACTTTAAAATATATTAAAAATATTTATTCTGTTGAATTTTGTTTGTATTAAATTTTTTAACTACATTTTTTAACCACATATTACATTATTGAATTTAAATATCAAAATTAAATATTACTATATCAAACAAATACATAATATTAATCTTTTGAAAATAATATCTCGTATAAAAAATTTTATTCTATATTTGGATATAAGGTTTTAATGTAGAATTATTGATTGTAGCATTATCAGTTATCATATCATAAGCATGTATATAATATATGTATATATGCTTGTTTGTTTTTAACATGTATTATGTTTTTACAAATAATTCTATTATATTAAGTAGAAATAATACAATGATAGAGTTAATGATAATTCAGATTACAAAATAATTTTTCTAACATAATCCAAAGATAATTTGATATAAATTATTCTATAATTCTGTTTTTTACTGCCTTGTTAATGTGATTTATTTGCTTGAACAAAGTGCAATATTAATTATATTCTATATAATATTGCGTGATAGTGTCGATTTTTGACTTCCATAAATAAGAATAGAATTATATTAGAATATAATAAGACAAGCACAGCACATTTCAATCTGTACTTTTATAAAGACATGATAAAAAATTATAAACATTGGAACATAATTTTTGCGTCCATCATAAGAATAATTACATTTCAATGTTAATATCTTGTAAATTCAATCAGATTTCGTGTATGCTTTTGGAAATTTTTTACCTGTTATATTGGAAATGTTGGAATCAATATTTTATTAAATTTATTATTTTATTTTGCTAATAATAAAAAACAATATTATAATTTATGCAAATAATTTTATCACTCAAATTATAGAATTTTTTGAAAACTTATAGTATAATTATAATAATGTTTAATTATTAAATTTTTCAAACATCAATTTTTTAATTAATAATTGTTTTTTATAATTAAATATCTTCTAAAAGTATATTTTTAAACTAATATAATTTTTATTTAAAATATATCATGTATGATCATGTACAATATAATCATACATTCTAAAATTCTATTCATAATTTTATATAAAAATATTTAATTATAATTATTTTTTATTTTAATATACTATAAATTTATTATATATTATATTATATAATATATATAATATATTATTTTAACTTTTTACTTAATTAGTTTTTAATGATTCCTCATTACCATATATCTATATAAATAGATCTATTGAATTAAAGATCTATTGAAAGTACAAATATATAGCAACACGATCCTGATTGAATAATGGAAGAAAAGAGTTGTAAAGACATGCTAAAGGAGAGAATGTGTCTAGTAGAATAATATAAAAGTTTGAATGCTCTGTCAGTTTGCACTTAAACATCTTTTTGTTTAAATATCTATCTTAAAATAATAATGTAATTTACTTTTTATTGAAAATGCAATGATTGTATATGGGCTGCGTTTGAGTCATGATTGAATGTAACAATTTATTAACTAACATAAAATAAATTAAAAATATTGGGAAAGTAAAATAATTATATGCTTATTATCATATAAAATAAAATATATGAATTTTTTAGTTCTATATAAAAATTGTTAAAATTATATTTAAAAAAATCATTAAATGATATCAAAGTATGATGGTTCAACACAGAGTTGCCTTTAGAATATATTTAATATTAAAACTTGTACAATAAAAGTATACATGTTATAATAAATTAATGGTTATAGATTTATTTTTATTTACATAATATAATTTTTTATAATAATTGAAACTAAACTTAAAAATATTTATATAATTATTATTATTAAATTATATTATTTTATATATAACATCATCTTTATTTGCTGTTGTTACTATTTCCATTTTGACTGGACAATGTAACCAATAACTTAAGAATTGTTCACTATAACCAAGTAGAAAATGCATTTTAATAGGTGGTATTTTACGCAAGACAATACCAGCTATCCTAATTATATTATGTTGTCGTTTAATAATTATCTCACTTATAAATAATCTATGCCAAGTACCTTCAATAAAATTTCGAATAAAAATATCTTCTATAACAGTTTCTGATGGCCTATTACCATCTTTTACATTTGCTAAAAAAAATAATATATTTATTATATTTTCTATTTTGTAAGAAATTTAAAATCAACATATAGATTTTTATTTTTATGTATGATTTTAACTTTACATATATCAAATATTAAAAATATTACTATTAATAAAACAAATTAAAATTATAATTATTTTATATACATGTATTCCATGAATTCCAAGATTTTCTAGCAACAATATATTCTGGAGGGTTTGCCATTTCATATGTTAGTGATTGTACTACTTTTGCTTTTGGTCTATAACGTGCAGATTGTACTTTATTAAGTACCGTGCTAATATGTAAGTATCTCTTCATAATATTATTTTGATTAATTAATATCTGAAAATAATTTGTTATTTTTAATTTAAATCAAAGATAAGGTTACCTTGTACATATATTTTTATTGTATTAAATACATACAGAACGCATTGTTATTGGATTCATTGTTTTTACACTTTCAATATAATAATTAAATAATTAATAATTGTTTAATATATATTTTTACACAATATACATTAAATTTAATAATAAAAGTTAAATTCCTAGCAGTAATACCAAACTGTTAAAGTAAAGTTACGTATCAATTTTACACAAACTTTATGCATTCAAAAGTACTAAAAATTTTTGTATATTATAAATATATTATAATATATAATACATATATTTATGGTTAAATATTATGTAAAATATTTAAAATATTATGTAAAAATAATTTGTTGATTAATTGAATCTTAATTGATTGATTGATTTTGATAGATTCAACATTCATAGAATTAATAAGCATGTAACAAGCTGAAAATATATTATCTATAAGCGTTAATATAATCATGGAATTTTGGAAGATCGATTCTACAAATCAAACAAATAAAAAAAAATTGGATATGTATAAAATGTAATGATGTATAATGTATAAATATATACAAAAATGTTGATTAAAACCAATATAACATAACTTGGTTTAATATTTTATTTATTAAATACCAATTGTATTTGAAGTTTGCGTTAGATAAAATGAGATAGAAAGAAAATGAAATCTGCTATATTATACCGTTGTTACTCTATTTCTCTTTCGTTACACGAATTCATATACCTATAATTTAATAAATAAATTCAATTGATATTTTTATACAACTTTTATTAAAGTATTTTAATTTTCAGAATCGATTCTCCAAAGGTGTTAAATATATTAATACTCTCTACACAGTCATATAATACTGTATCGATAAATAACATGGGACATTATATGTACTCTTCTTTTAATTATTTAATCTACTTTAAAATTTTATGACACAGATTAAATAAATAAATTTGTAAAAAAAGAAAAATATATATTTATATATATATGATATATATAAAGCTTATATTTTCTCACAGATTTTAGATATACAAATAAAACATTTTTATATCATCACAATGTGATTTTTTTTATATATTATATTATTTTCAATAAATTACGAATAAATAAAATATTTTGGGAAATTAATTTTTTGTAGAATAATAATTATCCATTTTCTTTATCCAATTCCTCATTTTTTAAAAATACAAAAACAGAAACATAACATCATTCGAGAAATTTTAAGTTTTTTTCAACTTTATAATCTTCAATAGATATTTCAATAATTATGTATAGCAAAAATAGCTTCGATCATCTTCGATTCTTATACATCTTATGTAACAGTATGTATGCTAGTATATACCCATTATTTATCTACTATTTTTACAAATATATCACAGCGCAGCGATTGATGTTTAAAATGTATAACGGTGAACTGTTTAAAAAGCTATTTAGACATAATTAATCAATATTAGTTTATGTATATTAACATTGCCCATCGCTTTGCTGTCAGTTTTTGCTTTTTAAATTAAGAGATCAATGTGCCAATGCTGTAGATTTTTCAGAATAAAGTGAAATAAATAATTAGATGAATTTAAATAATCAAAGTTAAAAAGATACTAAAAATACATCTATTTTTGATATTTTTCAATTTATTTCAAATATTAAGAATGAGAAGAAAATCTAATCATATCATACAATAAAAAAAATCTTTCTATTAAAGAAAGTATTAAGAGTTATAAAATTATTTTTATCCTCAATATAGAAAATAGTTTGAAAAAACATATAATGACGACAATGATTGTTTTACCTACCATGTATCAGAATCGTGACAACATTTTTCAACTGTTTACATAAATACAATATAACATATAAGTATCATTTATATTAGTATCTATCTATTCATAGCGAGCTTGAATTCTTTAAATCCACAGAATGCTTAAACTCTTTATGAATAATATATAATAAATATAATGATTTTCACAGAATTAAACTTAGTATGAATTGAAATTATTTCAAACTATTTTAATAATTTTAATTTTAATTTTTAATTTCAATAAGAAATTAACTTTTTAACCAATTCTATATTATATATTATATTAATTAATAATACAGTATATATATATATTATAGTTTCACTGACAGCCATTTTGTCTTGCTATTCATTCTATTTGAGAAACAGTAACAAAATTGCTACAAATTATATTTGTATAAAGTTTGATATCAGATTCTTTTTTTGGTTTTTAATTCTATCAAAAACAATCCTTTAAAGTAAAGCAGAATTAATATGATATCTTAAATAATTTCAATAAATACCATTTTCAGGATAATATGCAATTTTCTCGCAAATCTCATCTATAAATTTTATACCATATATGTACAACATGTATATGTATATATATATGTACAACATATATATATAACATATATATAACATAAAAAACAGTTTTTATTGAAGTCATATAGGAGAAACTTAATGTAATAACTGTAATCTTTAATATTAAACACAAATCTTTATCATCTTTTAATACAGTTTTTACATGATAGAATAATTGGTTTGACGTATATATTGAGATATTTAACATTGAATTTATTACATATAATTACACTTTATTGATTAATACAATGATTTGTTTGAGTGATTTAGCTATTAATTTTGATCTTATGTATTGCCAATATATCATTCGTTAATCAGTTTATTTCTTGGTTTTGGCTTGCAAGCCAAATTTTAATATAATAATCATAAATGTCATGTTATCGGTTTAAGTTATTAATATATATAATATTCTTCAATTTTACTGTTATTAATTATTTTCATCTTTATCTTATTTGATACAATTTTTATTAAAGAAATAATTTTTATGAAATAATGTTTATAATTAGAAATATTGAGAAACGCCATTTTTGAATTCTTTTATAACGAAGAAATTTTATATATCAAACATTAATAACATACAATATGTAGATTGAGATTTGCATTTAAAATATTATTTAACTATTATATTATCTATTATAAGATTATATTGATTGTTTGAATAGAATATACTGTAAATCTCTCTTTTATCTAAATTGAAATTGCATTTAATAAGAAAGTAAAATTCTTTTATTTATTATATATCATATATCATATAACAACTCGATTGGAGAAAATACATAATAAAATTCATAATCATTTTTTTGATTGATTTTAAAGATTAAAATCAATATTATAAACTTTCTAATTCCTAATAAAGCTTTACATTTTTTTGTTCAGAAAACTTCGAATCCTTCTTTAAGATTAATTTAATAGATTCCAGCATAATTCAGTATTTTCTTTTAAGTATTTTCTTTTTTTAATTATTATATATTCTTTTATAGTTAGCATTACTGACTTTTCATTTAAAAATTATAATGCTTAAAAAAATATTTTCAAAAAATATTTTCAACTTTTTCGAAATTTATATGGAATAACTCATCAATTGTCTCTTTGCAACATATTTCAATTTAATAATAAGATTAAATTCTTCGATGATTTTAAAATAGAATTCCGTTTTTTTTATTTGCAAACATAAATTTTCTTATGTTCTTTTGGCCTTTCTAATATTGTTGTTGTATTGTTGAAGTCTTTTTTTGGGTTTTTTCTAATTTTTACAAAGGTAAATTTTTTTAAAGATTATCTCGTATGTGCAATGTGCAATAATATATTCACTTTTTTCTTATGATATCAGTATTTCACGAAATTATTAAAATATTTTATTTTCCGTAAATGAGATCTGAGAAAAGACGTCATCATGATTTTGCTCATATTATTATTAAATAAGAGAAAAAAGAGTTTGTCTTATATGTATAAAAGTTATTATATCTTTTCTTTTATATTTATAGTTTCTTTATAAAATTTCTAAATTTATTCACATGATACATTTATGACAGCCTCAGATTCATACTTCAATAAATTGCGAAAAATTCTAACATTGAATCTTTTATACATTCATTTATCTTTTATCATGAGATTAATTATATTAATGATCCAAATTAATATATTTATCAAAAATTACATTTTCCATGAATATAATATTAACTCAATATATTGATATTTGACTATTCAAAAATTCCAAACTGTTGTTAATTTTTTAGCATCATTCCATTATGAATACATTTATAACATCAAGCATAAGCAAAATTCTAGGTTGAAGATCGACACTCAAATTGCCAATAACAGTAAATTTTTTTATTTATTAAAAACGGATGACATTATTAAATTTATTTAATTTTTTTTCTATTTGATCGAGAATAATATTTGATATAATACTTATTGATAAAATCAACAATTTTTACTACTATTTAATCTATCACATGCTATTTTTTAGAGAATTTAAATATTTTCTCTTCCTGATTTATTTCTGTTATATTATAATTATTCTATTAGAGTAATTCACTTATTGCTATAATATTATTAATTAGGAATCATTAATTAGGGAAATTGTAATGCTAACAATAGTTTATTTGAGTAAATCATCTATTCAAATTAATTTGGAATTATCTTTATATTGATTTCTACTTCAAATCTTGAAATAATATTTGATCGAGATTTTTAGATATGCTTTATATTAATAATTATATTATTTATAAAAAAATCTTTCTGATATAAACATATATAATATTTAGGAAAAACAGTGATATTAAATAAATACTTTGTTTTTTTTATAGATCTTATAGCCATAGTGTTTGAATATCTTACATATTCTAAATAATAAGGAATATATATTCGACGCTGTTTTTACTCTGCAGATGATCCTATCTTATTTTCTTTATAGAAGAAATCTATTATATCTCTATAGAAATCTATATTATATTTATATATTATATTTATTTTATTTTATTTTTTTTTTTTTATTAGTGAGAAATGATCTTATCATCAAAAGAGAGTATTCGACATCCATTGCAACGTAATAAGTTTTAACATCTTATATCTAATTTTTGATTTTTAATCTTTGGCAGTACTTTTTAATCGCTTTATTTTCTCGAATCTACTTTGAGAATCTCATTATATTTCTCGTTTTAGAAATCATTTTTTAATTGATATATTCTTTATTGAGAATAGCTTAAAAATTATCATATATTTCCAGAAAAAATATTATATATCTATATTTTCTTTATAGAAGAAATCTATTATATCTCTATAGAAATCTATATTATATCTATATATTATATTTATATTAGCTTTAAGAATTAATTCAATCGAAATGTTTC